AGAGAGAGAGAGAGAGAGAGAGAGAGAGAGAGAGAGAGAGAGAGAGAGCACCCAAGAGTTTACTTTGGTAGCAGCCCAGAACATTTCCTTTTCGGTATACAATCAAGTGTACCATCCATCAAATCAATATGACACAGTTGTATATATGCTGTTTTGTTTTCTTATAGGTGGCCTTTAAATTGTAATAGATGAAAGACAAGTCTTACAAACCTTTCACATGGAAATTTATAACAGGAAAGCAAGTTATGAAGAAAAATGAAAGGAAAATGCCAGAAAATTGTAATGGAAGTGCAGCATAATAATATTTGTGTAATCAATGAGTAATCGATGGGTGCCCAATACGTAATTGATGAGTAATCAATACCATCTGTTTCAATGAATAATCAATGACATCGATAACATTTGAAGGTTACTTTTGGGGGCACATCAAAAAGAGAGCATAAATTAACAACACAGCATTCTACATGGACCAAATAAAATCGTAATTCTCATCTTGTTACCTCCAGTGTCCATAACTGTTCCTTCATCATTAGTAGCAAAAGCACCTGATGCAGAGTCAACACTGAGAACAGAGAATAAATTTTTGCCTCTTAAGTTCTAATTCACAGTGGCAAGAAGGAACATGCTGGCCATGCAATAGTCATATCATGAACTACAGTTGTATAGCACTACAGCAAAATTTCTACAATTATATACACAGTGTTTCAGCCAGAAAATTTTACTTGAGGGCCAAAGTGGCCCCTGAAGACCTTTTTTAGGGGCCAATTTTTTAGGAAAGGGTACCATGGAAAGCATCAGGGTACGATGGAAAATAAAGCAGTTTATCAGGATCTATGATAAAATTTAATAGTAAGTGCTTTTTGAAGTGCTTCTACTCAATAAAGTTTCTATTGAACCAGGATCCGTGCATTACAAGAGAACAATCCTTAAGCATACATGACGTAGTCAATGATCAAGGGTTTGCAATGTATTATATGGCGATTTCAAACACGGTCAGCCATTTGGAAGTTTTTCGATGTGACAGAATCAATACAGCAAAGCAAAAGGATGGATCGACTTCTTTTCTTATGTTGAATGTTTTAGAAGCAAAGATCTTTCAATATGATTTTCTAGAAGGACATAATGTGTGACAAAATAACTGTTATTGATCATCAACACAGACAAATGTAGTCGCCATTATGGCGACTAAACTAGAATTTTTGGTTGCCAAGAATGAAATGTTGGTTGCATTGGCGACTGTATTGGTTGCATTTTCGAGCCCTGGACTATGGTTTTTAAAATACTATGCCTGACTGTTAAGCCTGCAGTCTTGTCAAAGGAAAGGGCCAATTTCATTTTGGCCCTTTTTTCTTTTTTCTGGGGGCCATCTCTAATTGCAACACGGGATTCCCGCAATGGCGCGATCTGGCAGAAACACTGTACATAGACATAGTATATGTACACTGATATTTAGCTTGTCTGCTGAACAGACTTACAGCTACATGTATACCAAGCTCATGCTTGTATTGTAGAACCAGTCTTACCTTACAGACCGCATCATAAATCCATGTGCTACGATGAATAGAAATAAAAAAAAGAAAATCATTTGTTGCAATAGATAGTACATGTACGTATAAATCCTATTTAGATATAACTGTTTGATTAACCTACACTACACTTGTATAATTAATTACTACTGTATAATCAAAATTTTATAATATTTAAAATGATTAAACCATGAATCAACAAAAAAAAATCTTACACTACATGTACAAAAGAGTTCTCAAAAATATCTCACATACCCTCACGCCTGGAATTCTCAGAGCTGAGGGACAAACTCTTCTTGAGAATTGGTGACCCAGAAGTTGATGACTCACGCTTACGGCGTTTGTAGGGGACAAACAACCTGATTGGACCAGCCTACGAAAGCAATGGCTAGGATTTTAAAAACCATAACTTAATACATACATGAACATGTACAGCTCTATATGCATAGAATGTGTGCTTTTACTGCCTGACTGAAAGGGAGACTAACTCAGACACAATTTCTATTTTTTTTATGTCAAGTATGTATGTTGATTGCAACTCTTTCATGTTCTCACATTAACAAACTTTCAGTTATCTTCAATAGTTTGATAGTGATTCACAAAAAAAAGGTTTAAAGGCATTGCCAAAGAACCGCTTTAAATATTAAGAATGATTACTAAATGTTTAAGAAATATATTTTTTTCATACCAGTGTGTCATCATCACAGCAAGTTGCACATGTGCATGAAATAGCATGAGGGGTCAGAACTCCATCCTCTATCAGGGACTGAAGAGTACGCCCACCATAGCGGATGCTGCGCTTCCAGTCCTTTGAAGATGCCCTTCCACAGCGAGCTTCAAATTCTGATGGAGTCATCCACTGGTCTTGATACTACAAGGGGAATAAAATAATTGACATGTAAAATAATCGTGCAATTTCACTCGTCTAATAGAGCCACAAAGGATGAAGTGCCAAAGTAACAATTTCCAAATTCAATTCAGTCAGAAAACAGTAGAAGAATAGCCACACAGTGGAGGTGCCACTGATAATTCCCATTATATACAGTGACACCTGTATTACAGTAAGCTGACCCCATATTAGGCAGACACCCTCTATTAAGTGGACACCAGCTTGAGTCCCTAAATTTTCTTCCCACATTTACTGTAAAATTAACCTGCATTTGACAGACACCTCTGTTAAGCAGACACAGATGCCAATATTATACCATTTTGTTGCACAAAACCTGTAATAAGCAGACACTTCGAAGGCTTTTTACTTCTAGAGCTCAGCTCAGACTCTGTTAACATTGTTCAGCAATGTCAATTTAAAGCTAAGTAGAATATTCAAATATTGAGGTCTAAGAACTTGGCAACGATGAAATACGGTTATCTATAACCATATTAAATTAGAACCTGTTTTCAGTGGGTACCCTGTATTAAGCAGACACTAGTGCATGTCCCAAGGGTGTCCCCTTAACACCGGTTTCACTGTTAAGTATTTTATTTATTTCGATCTTTGTAGACAATCCCTCCCAAGGTCCTGTTTTTCCTCAGGGGTTGCAAATGGCCACGCAGACGTTACGAATCATGGTCCTCAGATTTCATGTAAGCTAAACATTCATCAGCATCAGCCCAGCAATTCCCAAATCGCAGCTCAATCTGAGCTCCCTTCATAAGTCAGGGAGTCTTTACTGAAGTCATGCATAACCCCGTTACTACCCTGTTTATACCCCTGAGCTGGGAGAGGGAATAATAAATCATTAAAAACTAACAATATAAGCAATATCCTCAAACACAGTGAAAAAAAAAAATCCTTTTCGGGGTAGATAAAAAAAAATAATAATAATAAAAAAAATAAATAAATAAATACAAAAAATCACGAATCGATGTGCACAGAGAAACGTGACTCTCAGGGGTTACCGGCACGGCGTTGGAGGCAAAATACCATAAAATCTGAAAATAAAGGATAAAAATCTCAAGCCAAACAACAAGTCGTTATATGCCAAGTCTATGCTGCAACATTGCGAGTTAAGTATTAATAACATCACTGTGCATGCACTGAACTTGACGGAGTAAGCTCAAGTTAAGCTTAATTCGTTTTGCCATTGTTTACACAACACAACGTGAAAGTACAAGACACAAGCTTACGTCTCTGAGCAAAAAACTCAGAACAAGAAGAAAGTGTTAAACTAATTTCTTACCTTGATGCACTTCCCACGACCACCTGATCCAAGTTTGGTTTTGAATAACTCCGCTGTTTCGTTTCTGCAGCGCACGATAAGTACATCTGCACTGAGCGCTGCATCCCATGGCGATTTGCCTTGCGTTTCGTACTTCTGACGAGCCAAAGGTGAACCTTCGTCGACTTGTTGATTTCCAGTAGACATTTCATCTTGTTCCGCTTGTTGTATAGTGGTAATACCTTGTGAATCTTGTAAATTTGGACTGGATGATCTGGTGGAATGTGCCGGACTGTCTGCGATGACTTCTTGGATAGGTTGTAGGCTGGTCTGAGAGGGTTGGATGTGCGATGCCGTCGGAGCGGGAGTAGCGAAACTGATACTAACATTCCCGTTCGTGACTTTTACCACTTGTACTTCACACTGTGGATGCCCACCAACATTCGTGCTCGAACCCTCTTCGCCAGCATGGAAGACAGCAGTGGTGGAAGTTTCGTGTTCAGTCGGGATATGCTCGGCGATTGCGATCTGCTCGCTTACTTCAGATAACGAAGGCACTACCGATAATCCTTCGTCTGTCCTCGGAACGCCAACGTTGTCGTCCATTGTTTTGCGTTGCGGGAGCGATGCCAGTCAATATTTTGTGACAAAAAAGCTTTGGTTACCTCAAAGGAATATCAAAATACCTCGCTAAATTTCTAGTTTAATTGAAAATGCCGAAATTTAGGCTTTTCAAGTGGAATTTAGCGGTATTTTGATCTCGGTTAGGTAACTTCGTTCTCAGCGCGTCTGCTGGGGGTCTTTTGTATTCGTGGCCGACGAAAACGTGACTCGTTCCCAGCCCATCGGCACTAATAAAGTTAAAGTGGCTCTGACCAATTGATTCTCAATTTGCGTAAAAGAGTGTTGTGTGTTTTTTATCTTCATTTGTCGTCCACCATCATGATCTTTAACCTTAAATATGCTAAACATATCGAGTTGCCCACGAAATTGAAAATGAAGCGCTTGCAGATAAAAGTCTTTCCTGAATAGCTACCCTTAGGAAAGTGTTTTAATCACAAATGCACAGGTACAAGCATTTCGATATATTTTACAAAGTTTAAGCATGCAAGAAGGTTTTGCTATTTCAATTAACCCGCTTGTGCTGCTCTCGAGCAAGTTTTTTCATAAACTAGAAAACTCATTTCGTAATAGTCAAGCAGATTACATATTGAGGCGTCGCTCACGTTTCAGTATAATTAACAATTATTCCATGAGCGCGTGTTGGATATGAGATAGTAAATAGCCAACTCGGCCCTACGGGTCTCGTTGGCTATAACCAATCTCATATCCAACAAGCGCGAATGGAATAATTGTTTTATTAAATTCGGTGCGTTTGTATACTTGGAAATTATAGCTTAATTTTATTGGATTTTAATTTTACAAAGCGACCGGAAGTCGATGTGGCAAAAACAACAACAAGTGGGAAATCACATGACATGCGCGCCGTTTGTAAAATTAGTTGAATGAAAAATTTGAAAGCGAAGCAAGCGAATATGCTGAGTGAAATTACAATCAAGCAGAATTCAAGGAACGTCTATCAAATGAAGGAAATATATCCATGGTCAGAAAGTTTGAAAAGCGTTCAAGTTCGAGTCATGGAGAAGAGCCGAATAATTGTGCACTTACACATTGCCGNTCATATCCAACAAGCGCGAATGGAATAATTGTTTTATTAAATTCGGTGCGTTTGTATACTTGGAAATTATAGCTTAATTTTATTGGATTTTAATTTTACTAAGCGACCGGAAGTCGATGTGGCAAACAACAACAAGTGGGAAATCACATGACATGCGCGTCGTTTGTCAAATTAGTTGAATGAAAAATATGAAAGCGAAGCAAGCGAATTTGCAATCAAGTAGAATTCAAGGAACATCTACCACATGAAGGAGATATAACCTTGGTCAGAAACGCACCGAATTTAATAAAACAATTATTCCATTCGCGCTTGTTGGATATGATATTGGTTATAGCCAACGCGCGCTCATGGAATAATTGTTAAATATACCATGATGGCTAAGCCAATGAAAGCAATTGAATTGAATTATCAAATGATTTAGATATAGTAGCAATATATGTGATATGTTCTACATTGGATCAAAAAAGAAACTAGAAACAAAGATATTTACGTAAAATGTTCGCCCTTCAAGTACCCTACCAGTCAGTGTTTGAATTTACCCTTAGACCAGTGTCACTGATTTAAGCAGATGGCCAAAACTGTTGCTACAATTATTACAAGAACTGAACCGATTGCAAAAAAACCTCTCTGCACCTCCCTTTTCACCTGCTGGCCATATCTGGTCTCGGGAAGTGTGCCAATAATCTCAGCTTTGATATTTTCATGTGGAAAGGCAACAGTTGGGACTTCACACTCCAAGAAATCACACAATGGCTTCCATCCTTCTTTTACGTTGTACACTAACAGTTTGTCAGCGGGAACAATGGACTTAACTCGGTCGTTGTGGATACGATATCGCTTTCTGAAAACACAGGTGGACTTGTACTTGGAGTAGGAAGATCCAATGGCGGCATTAAGGAAGGACTTGACTACATAAGACACCTTCTTTGCGGTGGGGGATAACAACATGGCAACCTTGGACCTTGCAGCATACAATGATTCAAAATGATAAGAAAGACTTTCTACCCACGAATCTTCCTCTCTTACCATCAGAATCACTTTACAGTCAGGAAAAGCTTCCAGTATTTCCTCAACGAAGAAGTATCCAGGGAAATCCACGAATGCATCGGCGTTATGGTAAACTCGCTTTGCATCTAGCGTGGCGCCATTTTGAAAAACGTCGAGCCAGTGATCCACAAAGTCCAAAGTTTGCTCTTCCCAGTCGAACACTTTAAAGCCAAGGTACTGCAAGGCTTTGGCCATCGATTTAGTACCGGTTTTCATAATTCCTGCACAGATGATCTTCATAGTTACGGCCCAGTTCAGAAGTTTAATGCTCCTTACCTCTATTCTGTCCGTCCGTGTGAGTTATTTTGTTCAGGTGCAACCAGAATGTTGTGATATTGCGTGTGACATTTGATTCTTGTCACGAGCTCGTCTAACGCCCTCAAGCCAATCCATGTCCAATCCTTCATCGGTCCGTTGCAATATGTGCATAGAGCATACTCCAAGCATACTCGAAAATGTTAATGAGTACAAAAGCGGGAAGGAGAGCTCAAAAAAATTTTACAGTAAAGAAGAGCGTGAAAATTACAATAACAAGTTTAGATTAACATGTTTGATTTGATGATTGAGAGAACGGTTTTCCCTCCCGATGCGTAGAGCTTCTTTGATCTCGATCTTGAGCTATGAATTTTACAATGAATAAGTTGCCAGTAATCGGATACCCGTGTTTGCGCGAAGAACTCTGGGATCGTCAGGGGGCAAACATTGCTAGTCGCTGAAACGAAGTGTATGGCGAAAAGTTGTTTCGAGGTACAAGAAAACGATTTTTGAGAGGGATCAACGCTTTTTCGCCGTCGTTTT